CACAAACACACATTTCCCCCGCAACGCTTTATTTTTTATTTTTTAAATTTAAATCCACCCAGCCTCCCTACCTTTTGGAGAGCTGGGTGGATTTCTTACCTGGGGTCTAGTGGGGCTGCTGGAAAGGCAGGAGTGCAGGCTGGGGGCAGACAGGCGGCGAGGGAACACTGAGTGTAAGCTCTCCCTGCTCGCAAGCCGGAGTGACGTCATATTCCGGCTCCCAGCATCGCTATGGGGAGCGGAGTATGGAGAGCTTACACTCAGCACTCCCTCGCCTTGCGCTGCAAACATAGTAATTGTGGGCCGCATCATGCGGGCTGCGAGTTTGACATGCATGCCCTAGGGTATTTCAAATTGTGGTATTTTAGCACTTTCCATGCACTAATTCTACCCCAGTCTTTGTCAAACGTTTGGGTAATCATTTTTTTGTGTGTTATTTTTCTCTCACATTGTACTTTAGGCATGGATTCTCAGTTCCTGTTATGTGTTACAAAGAACACCCCAATATGTGTTCAGCAACATCTCCTAAGTAGAATGTACAGGTTTTATGATTTTTTGCAAACTTACAGGGGTCAAATGTAGGGTTTTCCCCTTTTCCGTGTTTGCACATTGAAATTTGCCAGATTGGTTTGCTAGGACTATGTTGCCTTTGAGACCGTATAGCAGCCCAGGAATGAAAATTAACCTCATCATGCCGTACCATTTGGAAAAGTAGACAACCCCCGGTATTCAAAATGGGGTATGTCCAGTCTTTTTTAGTAGCCACTTAGTCACTAACCCTGGCCAAAGTTAGCATGTATATTTTTTTATTTTATTTTTTATTTTTCACACATAAACTGTCATTTCACCAATGATAATATTAGTACAATACATTTTACTGCTCTAAAACAGTCACATTTGTGTAGAGTAATGTCTCACGAGTACAACAGTACCCCTCAAGTACAGGTTTTATGGTCATTTGGAAAGTTACAAGGTCAAACATAAAATTTGCTAATTTCCATTTTTGTAAATTGCTATTTGCCCGATTGGCTATGTTGCCTTTGAGACGGTATGGTAGCCCAGACATGAAAATTAACCCCACCATGACACACCAATTTTAAATGTAGACAACCCACAGTATTCAAAATGGAGTATATCCAGTCTTTTGTAGTAGCCACTTGATCACAACAATGCTGGCCAAAGTTAGCAGTTTTGTTTTTTAGAAGTTTTTTCATTTTTTATATTTTTTATATATATACATATATGTGAAATAGAGAAATGCCGGCACTCCTGGATTTAAGAACAATAGTATTTATTGTCACGAATGTCAACGTTTCAGTTCCTAGCTTGGAATTTTCATCAGGACACAAAGAATGATCATACAAATGACTGGCTTTTATACAGAACAAACAGGTAAGTTAATTACTCCCCACCCCCAGCTGCTCGTCGAGTGGGTTGGTCTGGCTGCTCCTGAGCTCGGGCGCATAAGAGAATCACCTGCGTGATTCCCCACACGTCATAGGCATGGTCCCCCTCCACACAAAGTATATCTGGCGTCACTCCGTTGCCCAGGCAACCACCTATAACGTTCGCAATTGGCTGCCGATAGGACCACTGACGGCATGTGGAGTTCTTCGGAAGGCTCCGCCCATCTAACGTGTATCGGGACCCGTCTCCTTAGCAACCGGAGCATGCCGTTCCCACTGTACGAGACAACAACACATCCACATATGGCTAAACATCCATATGAACAAAGGATATTGTAAACCAAATAAGCTCTAAATAGAACCGTATTATTTAGTAAATTACTGTAGGCTGGCATTATCAATACCAAAAATAGATTAAACATCCATCAAGCAAATAATGTATAAACCCTCTAAACTTAGATTAATAAGTACCCTTTACATACATATTGAAACCCAATATCAATAAACATGACAATACATATAAGCAATAAAGTCCTAGGTCTTAAAGTGACAGTAATGAAGTGAATAAAATTCATAATCTTAAAGTGACAGTGCAGGAATACTTTTCCATAATTAAGCATCTTTAGACAGTGCAAAAGTTCAATCATAATGGCTATATACTATGTGGATGTAAATAGTAAAGTGAATGAAGTGCAAAATCTAAAGTGATCGTGCCACTGCAAGAGAGTCTATCAATAGTGTATTTATATTGACGAGAATTCAATCGCAATGGATACTTTGTTTTAAGATAAAACTTGTGAGAAGGAGACAAATGTCTCAAATATTTTAAAGTGCATAAGTTATTATATAAAGTGCAAAAAGACAAAGTGCTAAAGGTTAATGATCTAAGAAACTAAGATCCAATAGAGTGCACAAAGTGCTTCATGAAGACAATATGAAGGAAATTGACAGTAAATATCCTACAGGGTACTACAGTAAGGGGTAAATAACATGTTATCTTAAAATGAGCCATATAGTAGTGGTGGTAAGAGAATGAGGTTAGCAAAAGCAGATCCAAATATATATTATACACACATACACCATAAGGCCTCTGCTGATGTTCCAGGTTTCCAACGCTCCCTAGGACTCCCACCCGCACAAGTGCCGAACTGGTTGGCACACAAGTTCCTCCAACAGTTCACTGGGCCTCTACCACCACCTCCGGGCAGGGACTTAGGCCGCGACAGGCCCCAACACTAATGGGCCTGGCACCCTGGCCCAACCAGGCCTGAGGAGAAACGCACAAAACTGCAAGCCGCAACCCGGAGAGGAGAAGACGAATTTGAGACACACCATGCATCAGTGAGTACTGTCATATCTATTGGGGACACTGGCTACACTTGCAAATCACACAACCGTTAAATGGGGGGGTGGGGGCTAGGGGTCAGAACAGCACCTGGGGACCAACTTATGTCACATGGACCTCCACACTGCGGCCCGACCCAGAGCCAAGATGACCCGCTGCAGGTACCATGAACCACAGAGAGGGGGGAAAGGAGAGGGATGGGGAAGAGGGGGAGAAAAGGGGCTGAAGGAGAGGGGAAAAAAGGGCAAAAGAAAAAGGGGGGAGGAGAGACGAGGAGGGGGAAAAAAATGAATGAAAAAAATATACGAATAAGGGCAAGCTCGGAGACGCAAGAAATACTAGAGAACTGTTAATACTGTGCTGATTATGCCGATGAAAATGCCACATTCTAGAAGATGACCCCAGGCCTGCTACAATGGCCACACGGGCCCTGGCCCGACTTACACACATGCATACTGACCCTCACCCGAAAACCATCAGCTATAAGTGCTCAGTAGCCGACCCCGCTACCTCACACTCACTGCTCACACATCCTTCCACACCAAACAGTCCATAGGACTTACCTCCAGGGACGGGAATGGACAACCCATGGAGACACAGCAACAGCCACAACATACACACACAGACGGTGCAGACCCCAACACGCTACCAAAATCACAATAAGAGGTGCAGCTACACCCAGATTATACGGGCCTATACGAGACACGACCCACTAACCCAACCTATAAGTGACCTTACGTAAGGCCGGCCCGGACAGACACACCAAGTGCAACCCCAGTTTGGCCCACGGTAGCATACCTACCGGCTGGGGGTCGACACTGAGTGTCTACCCACCCCGAAGGATAAGGACATAGTGAACCCCCCACCTGAGGGGCACTACCCTCCAGGAGTGACCCCAGGCACCCAGACTTTCTGGACCTGAGAAACCCTCTGCCTGGACAACATTTATCCATTGACTTGTTATTACTCCTGGTCTTGATAGGACCAACCTAACCTACTCCACCCTCCCTTTTTTTTTCTCTCTCTTCCTCTCTCTCTCTACCTTCTTCTTCTCCCTCTCCTCCTCATTCCCACTGCGCCCCCCGCTGGCCGCTCTGGGGATGCCGCCCGGGAGGACCTGAACCTCCTCTCCTATAATGTTCACGGACTTAACGTCCGCGAGAAACACTCTCGACTCCTACGCGACCTAAAGCGATATCGCTCGTCAGTGGCATTCATCAAAGAGACACACTTCCAAGAACACAGGGCGCCCTCCCTGCGGGACCACAACTTCCCGCTGGGATTCTTTAGCAACACTGTACTGTTCTCCAGGTGGATCCCCTACACGGAACAAGACACCCTCTGATGCCCACATGGCATATACATCTTCACGAAAGGAATCATACACGACCAGACGTACACCTTCGCGAACATATACGCCCCAAATTCCAAACAATACCACTTCCTTCGCACAACCCTGAACAACGTGATGACTTTGGCAGAAGGCACCCTGATAGGCAGGGACCTCAACCTCCCCCTACACCACCAGGATACCTCTACAAACCCCGCAACAATGCTCCACAACAGACATGCTACGTCGCTCCAACTAGTCCACCATCAGCAACTTACAGAGACTCAAAAAACAATATGTGTGCACAAACCACAGTGCAATAAGTGCTCAATAGATAAATAGCAGAAAAAAACCTCCCTTAACCAGATAGGACTTCCCGGAAGACTTCCTCTTGTCTTCAATAGAATATATACAGAAAAATAGGGGATTTTACTTTCGCTGAAATTAGAATGCCTTGAAAATAAATTCCTTTTTTCAGCATAAATGCCTTTCCAGGGATAATTCTTCCATCTACATTCAAACTCTCATGGATCAGCTGGAAGGTGTGTGCTCAAAGAAAAAGCAATAAAATTGTAGTGCACATTTAAAAATGTAGAAAACTGTTTTACCATGTGTGTATTTGATCAGCTTGCTCCTGCTGTTGTGGCACTGTAAGCATGTATGTTATATTATGCACAACAAAAATAAAGAATTATTAAAAATGTAGAAAAAATAATTTAATCACTTACATCAAAATATAAAACAATGGATGTAATCTCACTGTCACCACCAGGGGTCCTGAGACTGCTGGAGAGCCCTGAACCTAACGGCACTGGATTATACGTTCTACTCCACAACACACACCTCCTACTCTAGGCTAGACTACTTTTTCCTACCACACCGCCACCTAACACTTCTTGTTGAATCGGAAATCCTGCCCATGACCTGGTCAGACCGTAACCCCATTCGCATGCGACTCAAGTCCCCCTTATTCCGACCCCGCCAGACCTCCTTGCACCTCAACGAGTCTCTTCTCACCGATCCCACCCTGGTGGACACTACCAGGAAAACCTTCCAGGATTACTTCACCACCAACGAGACGGGGGACACAATGCCCTTGACATGCTGGGAAGCACACAAGGCAGTGGATAGGGGTCATTTTATCGCAATCCGCTCAAAGCAAAAAAAAACCAAACACTCAGGCGGTAACAGACCTCAGCAAAGAAATCGCGATAATAGAAAGCCAACACAAACTGACACTAGAGGCATCAACATACCAAGATCTCCTCCTCAAATGCACCCAGCTCACCACATACCTGAACCGCACAATCCAACGCTCATTCCAACACCTGATATATGAACATGGGAACAAGTGCGGCAGACTCCTGACTAATCTGCTAAAACAAAGCAGAACCCAACTATACATTCCCAAAATTAAAGACGCTGCTCAGCGGGCCCACCACCTCCCGGACCAAATCTCCTCTACCTTCCTTCAATACTACAAAGATCTATACCATATTCTTTGAGGAACACTGGACACTGAGGCACTCCGAAGGAGCGAAGCCATACGTATCTATCTTGCCACTTCGCCAGATAGATGAGCATGACTGCGAAACACTGGAAACTCGCATCACACCGGAAAAACTGGCGCTCGCCATCAAAAAAGCGAAGACTGGCAGATCACTGGGACCCGACAGTCTGCTTCTCCTATAATTCAAGACCTTCCTGCCAGACCTCCTCCCGAAACTACAAGCAGCCCTGAACTCCATTCTGGAAGGGGCAATCCCTTGGCACAATTTACAGCCACACACATCACTCTCCTTCCAAAAGAGGGCAAAGACCGGACATCTTGCCAAAGCTACCGCCCGATCTTAATCCTTGACGTCAACATCAAACTGTTGGCACCGCTTCTGCCGGACCTGATACACCTGGACCAAACAGGGCGGTCCGAGATAACACCATTCCGGGTGATGAACCTGATCTCAGTGGCCATACAATCCAAACACCAGACTCTACTCCTCTCAACAGAAGACTTTCGACGGGGTGGACTGGGGGCTCAAATACATCACTTGGGTGGAGGCGTTATACACCTGCCCAACGGCCTGTCTTCGAATCAATGGGGCCCTCACAGACCTACTCCAAATCCACAATGGGACACGCCAGGGCTGCCCCCTAACCCCTCTGCTCTTCACCCTAACTGTAAAACCCTTCCTAAACAGCATCAGACACGACGGGACAATACACCATAAAGTCCTCGCCTACGTGGACGACCTCCTCTTCATAGTGCAAGAACCGACCACGTCTCTACAAACGATGACAGAATTCGAGACGTATGGCCGCATTTCCAACTTACGAATCAGCTAGTCCAAATCCGAAATCCTGGACCATCAGGCATCCCCAATGGCAGACACTACGACACCTCTTTACCTTCCGCTGGTGTGCAACCTGGATGCGTTACCTGGGGATATGGCTCAAGCCGGACCTGCTGGACCTCTATGCCTACAACTTGTATTACATTTCCTGGCTAGGCCGAGTTAACGCGGTCAAGATGACCCTGCTCCCCAAACTCCTCTTCATCTTCCAAACGGTGCCAGTCACGGCACCGAAGAGCTTCTTCACCACCATTCAAGCGGCAATCCGCAATTTCATATCGAAAGGCAAATCCTATTCCCTACTGACACTACCCAAACTCAAAGGCGGCCTAGCTTTACCTGATCTCAGAAAGTACTACCTTGCAGCTCACCTCACGAGAATAATCAGCTGGTCAGTGACACCACGGGACAAACACTGGGTGCAATTAGAGGCAAACAGCACTGATTGTGACCTCAACTTTAACCCCAAAGTTGCTTCCAGCGGCAATGTCCACCCCCTCCCCCCCATTTTCAGATTCAGGAAATGAGGAGTGTCGCCTGGCAAGGGTGCCACTTATTGTCAGAGAGCAGTCCTCATTCAGTTTAGTAAATGGGGAGTCACTGATTAGATAACTGCTCTCAGCCAATCAGCGGCGCCACTGCCTGGCGGAACTCCACACTTCCTGAATCTGAAAATTCTGAAGCTGGATTCCTGGAGGGAGTGGATATCGCAGCTGAATGCAATTTGGGGGTTAAACTGTTTGAGAACAGTTTAGCCCCTTTAGGTAAGAGTGCCTCCAGGGGCCTCCTGGCACCATAACAACTTGTTCCAAGTGTATTGTCAGGGGGTGGCGTAGCCCCTTAAAAAGGCAAAGAATGTATGCAAATACAGAAAGTAAACTTTTCAATTGGTTAAGTGTTAGGTGTTTTAGTGAAATAAACATTTAATTGGTTAGGTGTTAAGTGCCTAATCTTGATGGACTTCTTCCAGAGGGTGTTGTTGTCATCGTCATCTTAGGTGTAACTCCAAATGGAGACGCCATCTTACTACACGAGGGTCTTGGTCGATGAGAGGGGGTGCTCTAGTAGCCATTTTGAGTAATAAATGAACACAGGTATACATAGTAAATAGATGTTTTACACACATTAATTTCTATCCATCACAGTCCCTATCTACTATATCTGTCCCTAATAGCCTAGCTCATCTGTCCAACAGGCCTCGGAACTCTTTTTGTGCTATGCATAAGAGCAGTGGCTTGTCCACCACCCCCCTCGCTACAGACTGTGCCCGAAAAGGAGTCAGATGCTGTCCCTACTATCCCTAAAACACTGTAGCCTTATGGTTAGTGGGGAGGGACTGCAATGGGGTATAGAGTTTATCGTAGTCTTCTTCATCTATATCTTGATGAATAAAAGCAGGTGTGACTGCCTGATCAGCTGTTTTCTGAAGACACTTTCTAATGCAGGGAAGAACACAACAGACAATAAGAGCAAGGATAATCAACATTACCAGGACTGCTACACCTATTTGGCCCAGAACTCTCTGCCAACCATTCATTCATCCAAACCATCTTTCCCACGGATCAGTAACACCAGAGTTCCTTTTCAATTCTTCTGAGAGACTCACTAATTTCTCTATTGCCAGGGTCACTTTACCGTTAGGACCAGTGTTATCTGGGATGAAGGTGCAACATGTCATAGTGTCTGGGAGCAATTTACACACTCCTCCTTTTTCTGCCAAAATCATATCTAGGGTCATCCTATTCTGGGAGGTGGCTTTTAATTGTTCAGCTATCCCCTAGAGGGAATCTCTTGTATAATTTACAAACCGCTGCTGATCATAATATATGTAATTATTCCAATTCACATTCTTATTGGCAGCAATGATTGGAAGAATGGATTCAAAACCCGCAGCAACTTCATCAAAAGCTTTGAATTCGTCTGGCACCCCCCTCGGCACCCCAATGGCATCAATATATACATGAGGGTCGAAACTGCCTCTTACAGGGGTGTTTCTCCTTGTTCTAATGTGCGGGGGTGACTTGTCCAGTGAGTGTTGTGGTCCTTCCGATAATATGTGTAGGGGCATAATAACTTTAGCCAAGGCACATTCCCCCCACCATAGGCCTTCCAGCCTTGTCCTGATCTTCATATCCCCACAAATTCAGTATATATCTCCCAGAGATCAAATCTAATTTAGTAGCAAGGTGGCTAGAAGTTTGCAATAGGTGGCACAATACCCACTGGTGAAATTTCCCAGAAACCTGCCTTTCCTTCCATATATACCATAGCATGTATAGTTTCCTGGATATATTGCTTGGCGGCTTGATCATCTAGATGGTTGCCTCGTGCTTCATCTGAGTTCAGTTTCCCAAGAGCCTTTACCTTGAGTATGGCTACTTCTTCAGGGAGGAGTAGGGCATCCATCAGCTCCTTGATAGCCGTGCTATGTTTGACTGGTGTGCCAGTTGCAATGAGAAATCCTCTTGTTTTCCAGATTACTCCAAAGTCATGAGCCACGCCTAGTGCATATCTTGAGTCAGTCATTGGCGCGTTTTCCTTCAAAGATCTTGCATGCCGTGGTAAGAGCCTGTAGCTCAGCTTCTTGTGCAGACATGGATGAGGGGAGTGAGGATGCTTTAAGTACTTCATCCACTGTGGTGACAGCAAATCCAGTATGGTATCTTCCTTGTTCATCAGCATATCTGGAGCCATCCACAAACAGGGTGAGGTCAGGTTCTTGTAGAGCAGCATCATGTACAGTTGGGAGATGTGTTGTCTCCATCTTCATCTGTTCAAAGCAATCATGAGATGGATTTGGATTATGGTCTATAGGAGGGATTGCGGTACATGCAGATTCTGCGTGGAATTGGGGATAGCCAATTGCTTTCCACTTCAGGGTTTGTTTGATGATACCCTTTTCAGAGAGCTGGGTCTGGTCTTCAGTGTTCCACAATTTTGCCATAGAGCCAAGATCTTTCCATGAGTTCTGAAGTGACTTGGTTATAGAGATGTGTGGGATAGCTGTGTCCTAGTGATGATACAGGTGAGAAGCTTCTGGGGGCAAGAGGAGTAGGGTCACGCTGTTGCCATTGGGATCACAGAACAGGTCTGTTATGGTGAGTGCCACTTCCACCAATTGGAACAAGTCTTCATAGCGTGGGTCAGGACCTGAAGTAGGCTTGAACCACAAGGTGCAGTGAGGAAAAGTCTGAGTATCATAGGTGAAGGGCAGGGTTTGGGTCTTTTTGACTTCAGTTCCAAGGAAACAACCCCAGATTCGGTCTATGTCCAGGCTGTACCAATACTGTGCAGGTCCGCCCTCGGGAAGTGGCAGAAGAGTGGCCGGGTTAAGACTGTAACATCTCTGTAAGGAAACATTGTCTGGTAGGAGTAGAGAGCATTGCAAGCGGAGGTGGCGGGCAGAAGAGAGATGCCTGAGTTGGACTTGATTGAGGATGGCAGCAATGTCATGAGGGGCGAGGATGACAAGAGGATGGCCAAGTACCAAGTCATTGGTTTTCTCAATAAGAGCATGTGCAGCAAAAGCAGCTCTGAGACAGGAGGGTCCGCCTCTAGCTACAGCATCAAGATGGCAAGAGAAGAATCCAATGGGGCTTTGGCATGAGCAATGGGACTGAGTGAGGACTCCAGTAGCATGTCCTTTTCTTTCAGACATGAACAACTTAAAGTCTTTCTTGTAGTCAGAAAGTCCTAGGGCCGGTGCAGAGGAGACAGCACATTGCAAGGCATGAAAACAGGAGAGGGCCTTGGGAGACAGAGAAAAAGGTTCAGTCTTGAGGGTGTCATAGAGAGCTTGCATGAGGATGGAGGCTTCTGGCATCCAGGCTCTGCAGTAGGAGATTAGGCCCAGGAAGGCATGGAGGGGTTTGCGTGCTGTGAGGGGAGCAATATCCTTGATGGCTTTCACCCGATCCCGGGTGAGATGGCAAGTACCATATGAGAGACAGTGTCCTAGGAAAACCACAGAGGGTTGACACCACTGTAGTTTCTGTGCAGCCTTGTTCAGCGAGGTAGCAGAGAAGATCTTTAGAAGCACGTTCAGCAGTTGGGAGGTCATGGACACAGAGGAGGAGGTCATCCACATATTGAAGCAGGACCACATCAGTGTGGGCCTCTTGCCAAGAGTCCAGAATTGAAGCCATTGCCTTTGCAAACTAACTGGGAGAATTTTGTGCACCTTGAGGCATAACAGTCCAGGTGTATTGCTGATGTCCATGGGTGAAGGCAAACAGATATTGACACGAAGGATCCAGGGGTACACTGAAAAATGCATTAGCCAGATCTACCACTGTGAAGAACTTGGAGGTAGGTGGGAGAGGACATTTGAATTTGGCCAAATGGGGTAAAGATGATAGAGGCCTGCAAGTGGGAGAGGACATCTGCACCCAAAACATTCATAGGACAAGTGGAGGATACCACAAAGCAGGCTAAGAGGTCAGGGAAGGTGCCAACTTTCAAGGGTTGGGTTAGAGGGCTAGAGCGGGGAGTGCAATCTACCCCTATGCAAGAGACATCAATGTTAGACAGGAACGAGGAGTCAGACATGTCTTGTTCTCTAAGGATACTCCTGGCTGCACCTGTGTCAACTAAAAAGGTGGTAGGGTGGCCTTCTACAGGCAGGACTACCATGGCTAGGGCCCCCCCTTATCCCCTGCCATGACAGGGGTAGATGACAGGTTTGCCAGTTACCTAGCGCAAAAGATCTAGGTGAGCTTGGTCAGGGCCAGCGTAGGGACGGCTGGCCACTGCGGAGTAGCTAGCAGCAGGATAGTTGGCAGTGGGGTGACTGGCCATGAAGGGGGCGGTTGCGGGGTAGGGCGGTATCCCATCCCGTGGAGGAACTTGTCTAAAAGCCCTCGGGGCTCTACAGTCCCATTTGAAATGACCTGGTAGTCCACAGTTGAAACAATTTTTATGTGGTATTGGGGCCTGACCAGTAGGGAGGCCCAGGCCGGGAGATAGAGACATAGGACGGGCAACCATGAGAGGGGTTGGCTTCCTGGGAAGTTGGAGTTGGGAGGATTATAGGCCTTTAGCAACCAGGAGAAGGGTGTCCAAGGGCAGCACCCTGTACTCGAGGCGGGACAGAAGCAGGCCTTTGCATATAGATTCCTGTTACAAAGGCCGCAGATATGGGACTTGTTATACATGCTGAAACCCAGATCGGAGAAGACTTGGGATAACCTGGTGTGATATTTCTCTACATACTCTGTCTTATCTTGGGTGATATCATTAATACAGGTAGCCTGGTCAGCTAATTTATCTTTGGACCAGTCTCGGAGCTGTTCACAGAACTCTACGCCTGAAGCAAAATTAGTATAACTAGTGAGTCGGGCACTGGAAAGGCTTTTCTCCATGATAGGCCAGTAAGTATCTCCTGCTTTTATTTCACAGAGGCTAAGTAGTCACGCCATGCGGCAGAATAAGTCTTTTGGACCTGGACAATCCTTCGGTAGAAGGGCATAGGTTGTTTCTCTGGGTCTGGGAGTGAGCCCACCAGAGTTGCAGCCTGGGATGGAGTGAACGTGACATACATTAAGGGGGCCCCTTCCAAGAGAAACCGGGCCTTGGGGTTCCCATCAGGAGGTTGTGGAGGAGCGCCCCAAAGTAGGTTACAGTCATCGGGGGTATCTGGGACTCGGTGAAACTGGAGGTGGAAGAGCGTGAGGCCAGTAGGCCGCCATTAAGGCCGTACATAGGGGAGGAGTATAAGGGTTGGAGGGGAGTGGGCAGGCTCTGGACTGCCCCCCTGTGGCGTGTGAGCAGGCGGGTCATCCATGGTCACCTGGGGTCCATCTTCGAAAGGCATGACAGGGGCGGACAAGATAGGAGCTGAGGTCACAAGGGCAGGAGCAAGAGGGGCAGGAAGGGTAGGTGCAATAGGAGAGGACATCACAGGGACAGAGGTAACGGGCGGGAGCAAGAGGGGCAGGAAGGGGAGGTGCAGCAGGAGAGGACGTAATAGGGACGGAGGCAGCAGGGGCGGGCAGGGAAGGCATAACAGGGGTAGGGGAATAGAGTGTTCCATCCGCCCTAAGGACGGGTTATACAGGGGCAGGGGCCAGAGGGGCGGTGGTTGTCGACACTAGCAATAGGGTGGAGGTCATGGGGGCTGGGCCAACCTCCTTTTCTTTGTGCCAGTCGCCATCATAAGGCGGTGGCTGGCAAATACCTTCAACATTACATGTACTTTCATGATATACATACATTCTCTGACCACCTAGGTCTATCTCCTCTTCCACCCACCCTTCTTGGTGAATAGCTCTGGCAACTCTAAACCAGGCTTCTGCTGTCTGTACTAGCTTGTTGTCCTGCAACAATCCTTTCTTCTCTTTTAACAACTTGCGCCAGCCTTCTGGCTGTAGCCGGCCGCTGGCAGACATATTAATGCCACATATCTTCGCTACCTTCTTCAGCTTCCCCACTGCCTCCTCACACTCTCTCTCCCTCACTATATCACAGGCTAACCAACCTTTACTGGGTTTCCCTAGCTTCTGTCCCATCCTCTCTATGCAAGATGTCACGAGATAGAGACAAACAGGAAAGAGAACGTCTACAGTGCTCGACTGCCACAGAGGTTAACCCTGCGTGCGTCTTCCCAAAACATAGACTAGTTACTGGGTCCGCCCATCCGAGGTGGCCACGGACTGGAGCGTAGCGAGTAGTGTGTGACCAAACACTTCTCTCAACAAAAGAATACAAGAGGAAGGAGACAAACAGGACACAACTTTACATTTATTGCGAACAAGAACCCAAGAAGCATATATGGTTAAAATACATTTACCCTTCCCTGTCCCTGTACTCAATCTCTGTAATGCCGCTTGCCACACCGCACACAGCACTACAGAAACCCCCTCCCTGCAAAGCTGCTTTCTACACCGCACACGGCCACTGCAGGAATTCCCCACTAGCAGCGTCGCTTGCTACACCGCACACAGCCGCTGCAGGGAAACCCCCTCCTGTAAAGCCGCTTGCTACACCGCACACAGCTACTGCAGGAATCCCTCTCCTACAACGCCGCTTGCGACACAGCACATGGCTATTGTAGGAGTTCCTCCCCCACAACGCCGCTTGCTACACTGCACATGGCTATTGTAGGGGTGCACTCATTACAAAATACATTCATACCCAGGCAGCAGATAGTCAATATACAGGTTCAATACAAAGAGACTCCGGGCAAGCTATTTACCTGTCTTTGGTGCCCTCCGGCAGCCGACGCAGCTACGGAGACAGGCCAATCACAGAGAAAGGATAGATAGGCAAGGTGCTAAGGCAGTCATTACCGTATATCAGAGGTGATCAGTCTTCGTACCGTCACTGCAGGTTTGCCTCAGAGTCTTCTAGGATGGCTGGTTGTCCGGACAGAACCTGGAGCCCCACGTTGTTTTAGACCAAACCAAGTGTTTGCTTGAATATCTGCCCCTGTCTAAATGTTTTGAATGTAATAAAGCATGCACGCCGAAGAAATCACATTGACACAGAAAAGTTCAGTTAAATGAAAACTTCCAAGTGTATTGTCAGGGGGCGGCGTAGCCCCTTAAAAAGGCAAAGAATGCAATGTATGCAAATACAGAAAGTAAACTTTTCAATTGGTTAAGTGTTAGGTGTTTTAGTAAAATAAACATTTAATTGGTTAGGTGTTAAGTGCCTAATCTTGATGGACTTCCTCTAGAGGGTGTTGATGTTATCGCCATCTTAGGTGTAAGTCCGGATGGAGACGCCATCTTACTACACGAGGGTCTTGGTCGATAGGAAGGGGTGCTCTACTAGCCATTTTGAGTAATAAATGAACACAAGTATACATAGTAAATAGACATTTCACACACATTAATTTCTATCCGTCACAGAATAACCATTTAATGTGCTGGGGAGATGGTATGCGGGATTAAGAGTTACTCCAACCACCATGCCCAATTCAGTGATTTCAAGTAGTCGTAGTGATTGGAGTTTGTATGTGCAGCATTTCTGCTTGAAACTGCCCACCCAAAGATATAATCACTTTTGTGCTGATGGCCAGTTGCACCCCAGGCAAACATGACTTAAAGTACCGTGCTGCCTAATATCAGTTTGGTGCATAACTGACATCTGTTGTCAGTGCACACTGCATGCTGGCAACAGACGTGGTCAGATTCTTCCCTTGCAGACAGCTACTGGGGCAGCACTTGTATTCCTTACTTCCTACTAAATAGATATTTTGATACCTGGGGTTGTTTGATACCAGTAGTCATTTAACTCCTGCTGGTATTTTTACTGCTTTTACTGGGCAATAAAACCATGCACTGCATGATGGCATAGATCATCTGGTCTCGTTAAACCATTTTATTTATGTAGGTTGTGTGGATATGGCTGCATAAGCAGAAACAAAAGTGATGTGACTCCTATATTGCTGAGAACTGAGCAGTGGGACTTCGGAGGCATGAGCTATACACCAAAACTGCTCCATTGGTGCTCAGAGAGTATCCCTTAAATTAAATATTTCCAAATGAGAGCCCTGGTGTAAAGTGACTTTGTACAGGGATGGCAGAAGAATTGTGGGATGCACTAACTTGGAAGATGAGGATGTGATGGTAGTCACCATCACTGGGAGCTGAAGACGGACACTTTACGGAGGTCCCCAGATTACTCCTATGTTTTAGTTACCCTGTGCCCATTATATGTACAGGGCGTATCATGTATTTGTTTGTTAGTTATTCTTCCCCCTGCCCCCCTTTTCTTGTTGATTTCTCTATTATTCCAGAGATCCCTTTAAACTGCTGTATCGTGTTATATATGTTTTAGGAGTTTTCTTGTACTATGGGTTTCTGTGTGTATAAAATGTAAAATAGAAGGGAAGAAATTAGTTTATAATACAGGAGTGACTTGTATTGTTTTGTATGATGACCCCCTGTTGTGATTACTCCTATATAAACCTGTATTTCACTCAATAAAACCAATTCTACGTTACCCTTCACTTCGTCTCGGCTAGTGTTTGGGTGAGACTGCTATACTGATATAGACTCTGTAGGAGAGTGCTCACTTGGAGCTGTACCCAGGGCGGGAAGCTACGGAGAGACCCCAGCCAAGCTGAGGCAGCTAGAGGCTGAAGCACTACTGGTGTTCTGGTGGGAAGCGAGCCTTATGGAGGTACCCAGTTGGGGTGCCAAGCGGTCCGTCACAGAGGATTACAGAGTTGCTGGTTAATTACACTCACGCCAAACCTAAAGCATTCAACGCTCCGGACTGTAAGCTCGTTTAAGCAGGGTCCTCATCATGTCAAGTAATAATAATACAAAAATAATGACCAGAATCATCAACAATAGAAAGTAAATAGAGCAGCCATTGGCAATGCGTCACTGGCACAGTATATCAAATATTCCTGTATTATGGGTGCCCCCACAATCCCTTACTCAGGGTAAAGGGCTGAGTCAGGATAGCAGATCTACTACCACCTCAGCACAGTCTACATGGAACCCCCTCCTTAATTTACACACAGGCTGTGTTTACTGCAGAGCTGTCTAGCCCTCCATGAGTGCTCTGTGAGGGCAGGGCTGGAGGTTTTCCCCAAATGATCATGGCCGCCGGGTACCATCTCCCATGATGCTCGGGGGTGAACACGGCGCTGGCACCATTAATGTGCGGCACTGCCAGGGACGGCTGGTTTGGGGCTCTCCCGCCCACTAACAGCGGCAGCTTCAAAATAGCGCGCGTCAGAATGTCGCTGCCCTCAGAAGAGCGAGCTGTGTGACCTGGAGCAGCCAGGCATGGGGCTGGCAGAGCATCGTGGGAGTTGTAGTTTTGCAGCATCTGTGTAAAGCTGTGTCTGGTTAATGATTACACCATAACAACATATTCAATGGGCTGTAAGTCTCATCACTCTCATCCAGGAAAAAACTCTACAATATAGTCTCCCAGTCTGCCTGCATTGTAAGTCCACCTATAAATACAGCTAAATATTGCTCCCCATTGCTAATGGCTGGTCAGATGTGAAATTTAACATTAAAACTGTGATAAGTCTCCCCCATCCCATTTCTTTTATTTCTGTGTAATTAATTACATTTTGTAGCTATCATAAAATAAAGAAGATTTTATTTATTTATTTATTTTTAATACTAATTGGATTTGGTTGTCCCTGCCAGAGTTTGAAGCTGTTTCGATATGTTTGGCGATCTCATTATGATATCCTTTATTTTACTTTATTCCTCATTTACTTTAAACTGTAAGTTTATTTTTATTTTTTTTAAACTTGGTTTCCAGGCTTTGGTTTTTTTTTTAGTGTAGATTGAGCATGCACATCTGCATAGTATGTTTGAAAACCTTTCATTTTATATTTAAAAATAGTCCATTAATATCTGTTGCTCTTACTACAGAGAGGAACTTGTGCTTTACACATAAACAGCTCAGATGTTTTCGCGAGGAGTAACATTCAGTATCCGGAATATCCAAGTAATATGAGAATTTACAAATAAGGAATATGTCCCAATGACGGAAAGTCACCCTTCAGAGATGGACTGCAAGCTCAGTGGACTGGTAAGGCAGTCATTCACAAAAATTAAAATATATGGAAGCTTATTTGACAACTGTCATCATATGTTAATTTCTTATTTTATAAATGAATTTATGAAACGTCATGATATTACCATGATATTTCCTTTACTGAGAGGGTAGTGGATGCATGGAATAGCCTTCCAGCTGAAGTGGTAGGGGTTAACACAGTAAAGGAGTTTAAGAATGCATGGGATAGGCGTAAGGCTATCCTAACTATAAGATAAAGTTAGGGACTAATGAAAGTATTTAGAAAATTGGGCAGACTAGATGGGCCGAATGGTTCTTATCTGCCGTCACATTCTATGTAAAGTGAAGGGAAATCTTGAGTGTTCCTCCATCCCTCCTGTGATCCCTCCCTGCATTTGGTAAATTTGTCTGGAGATTTTTATTGTATTGTCTCCCTCCCTACCTCTGAGCGTGTGCTTGTTCTCTGAGCTGGCGAGAATGGTCCAATCAGTTTCTTCTCTTAGATAAGCATTTGACTGGACCATGGAGAGGGAAGCAGTGACGTTGGATAGGGCGTCTAAACCAGTGAGGGAAGCTTTACCCGTCACTGGATTTTAAGTAAGTTCTAACGTTACTTAATAGGGTATTTGGTGCTAATAAAGGGGGTAGGCATATGTAATAGTACTCAATAGGGCATTCTCAATTAAAAGCTTGCAGAGTTATTCACTTAAGTGAGAATTCAAAGTTAATTTCAAATTCAAGTTAAAAACAGCGGAAACGCTCTCCGAGTCAGAGATGCTTCCAATTCAGCTGTTTTAACCTTGAATTTGAAATTCACTTTGAATTCTCACTTAAGTGAATAACTCATAAACATATTTAACATTGGATAAAACCAGCAATAAGGTTGTGCTCACCTATCTGGCTGTGGGCAAGACTGCAGAAAAAAGCATTTGAGGTCGATGTAGCAGCCATTGCTGAACTTGGGAAACATCCAAAATGTGAAAACTACATTATTTCAATAAAAGAGAAGTTTTTATCTTTGAAGTGTTGGTTTTTACATGTTGGATGCTCCCCAGATTTAACTTTAGACATTCCAGAACAAAGTTCCAGACTGCCTAAGTCTAATATGTGCTGGGGGCAAAAGTAGTTCCCATGTTGTCACGGCAAGGGTGCATAATTTATTATTACACTTTGGAATATTGTCCATTAATGTAGTATGTGTAGTGCATTAAGGACCTGCCAGTATGGCAGAGATGGTATTGTCAATGTCAAAAGGGGTTAATTTGATTGTATGGAGATCAAAAGGGGTTACATCTTTTAAAAGCTGGAACCCTCGTAGAGGTCAGATGACAGAAGGGGTAGTGTGAATGGCATAGGAATGTGAAAAGTATTTTACCATATGGATGTGAATTAATCAATGCTCTGCAGGGTGTGAGATCCTACACTTTTAAAAGCCTGAATTTCTAGCTGGCTTCAGTCATTTGGCTGTACATTTTAATTGATGAGTCAATCTCTGTGATATGTTAATGGCCATTAGCCTTGTTCCAGTATCATATGCAAAGGAAGGAAAAAACATTCATATTTATTCCCATCCCCCTCCCCAGAATAATAATTAATCCTCGTTTTTTGTTATATTTGGAATGTGACAATCGCCCGCTTCTAAATAAGCCCAAACATGAGTGGCCTAACTTAACCACATGGGAAGGGACTGTGATGTCCACCACACTGATGTTGTGCAGCAATAACGTTCAGCATCTCCACCCTCTGCATGTAGGATGATGCATTGAGTCAATGCATCTCTATGAGGAGATGCTGATTGGCGCAACGTGGCGTTTTGCTACTCAGGTGTGATAGACTCTCAATGCTTTCCTATGGAAAAGCATTGGACTGGCTGAGATAATTAATTCTGAAGATCTAAGTCGAGGAGGAGGACCTACGCTGCACTGGAATAAAGGTATTTTTATTTTTATCTAAGAGGGCGAGGGGGTTGGTAGCTGGCAGCTAAATAGTGTTTGTAACATTATAGGGTCAGGAATTCTGACCTTTAATGTAATAATGTACTCTAATGTTTCTCCTGCAGAAGTCATGTAAATATGATGAGTAGACTTCCAACATTACTCGCACTGCTGCTGTCGGCACAATCTGCTAGTATTGCATATTGTGTTAACAGCTGCGGTCCGAGCAAATTTTACATTTCATGTGCCCGTTGTGTGTATTATTCATGACTAGTGGGTTCCATCTGACTTGTGTTGGCACACTGGGTAAAAGGAGGGTAGTGATTTGACTTTGCCATGCCACTTGAGGCACAAGCCTAGTGAATATATTTTACATCCTAATAGCATTACTCAAAATCACCAGAACCCATGATAAATAAAAAGTGGTCTCAAGGACCAGTCTTCACAGAGATAAAAACCAGCTTATTGGTAAGCATGAATTCTGTTTTTCTTTGTAATGTGGAGACCAGCAGCATAGGGGATCCCTTCAATGAGTTGGCTGAAACTCAAGCTGAGAAAATACAAGAAGCCTAACAGGATAGTCAGAGAGTGGTTTTCTAAGTTGAGACAGTGGCCCACAGATAATAGAAACATCAGAAAAAAATGTTCTAAGAACAAAGTGTGACAATAGCGCTTACCAGTCATAACTTCTGCCAATAATTAAAAAGCAACTCAAAAAACACGTGAAGTAATACCTTCTTCCCTCACCCAATACAAAAGATAATAGCTTACACCTTCTTAATATATACATATGACTCTCAAATAAAGGCAGAACAGGAAAAAAAAAGTGTGTTTGTGTATATATAAATATATAGATAGATATTGTGTAGATCAGGGGTGCCTAAAGGGTACGGCTTCCGTGGTGATTTGTCTTTTTTAAAGGCATGCAAAGCCTCATAGGAGTTACAGTTCTATAACATCTGGGGATCTACCATTTGGGCACCCCTGGTGTAGATGGTACCATAAAGTGACAAATAAAAAGTAATGTAGGAAGCACACTCTCATGGAGATGAGCCTAATATGTATGGATAAATGGATCATCTTCCAACAAATATTAGAAAGGTACATTTCTCAGTATGTACCATTGGGAAATAAATATAAAAGAAACAAATTAAAACCAATGTGGCTAGAGAAGTAAAAGAAGAGATTAAAAATAAGAAAAGGGCATTTAAAGCATTTAAATCGGACAAATCAGATGCATCTTATAAAAGATATAAGGAAGCAAATAATGCTTAACTTCAACTGTCTAAGAGTTGTGCTAAGAGCTTTCTTTTCTACTGTTACAGGTAAGATTCATCTGTAGGAAAAGGTTACTGATTGCCCAGGGGCGTACCTAGAGCATTTGGCACCCGGGGCGGATCCTGTGCTTGGCACCCCCAAAAAAACCTGTAAAAAATTTAAAGGTTCACTTTTTTTTTTACAATTTGTAAACTTTGCAAAACCGCTGTCAGCCCCTCCTACAAAACCCTTGTCCTGTCCTGCCCCTCCTACAAAACCTCTGTCCTGTCCCTTCTACAAATCCTGTACTGCCTCGTCTACAAAACCCCCGCA